AGTACCTGTGTCTCATCGGAAAAGAAGCGACGGCGCAGTGTCACCACTGCGGGGAAGAAAAGGACACTTCCTAGCACACGCTGGTGAAACGTCTAGCCTGAGTGGTGGCGAAAAGAGCGTTCAGGCGAGTTGTATGCTGGAGGGAGATAAGAGTTCGTGGACGAATTGGTATATGGCTAACCTGGGAGACACTGGGATAAAAGTATAGTCGATGGAAGAAATATAACGAGGTCGTAAAATCGGTCAGGCGTCAAAGTTTACGCGTTCGAGCATATCAAGAAGCGAATGGACAGAAACCTGAGAATATAAGGACTCGAAACCTCAATCAGGATCGCATGACGCATGCCTAAGCTTTGATTCAATCTGTTGCGAAAATCAGGAAAATTCGCTCCTTTAAGCGACTATAATTTAAAATACTTTTTAAACTGCGACAGTTGCCGGTGGTAGTTTCGCTGATTCCTGGCAGTGCGAGCGAAATAGTTTTGCATTGTCGTTGTCTAACCTACACACACACATTCGTCCACAAAACCAGCCGAATGTTTTGGTTTAGGTGTCGATGACTGCAGATATCTATCTCACACTGATTACCTGTGATGACGTCACCAGGGCATCAACCTCGCCAGGTGATCGACCGCGGAAAATCAATTCAGTATCGACGAAATTTTTAAATTCCTCCGTTCGAGAATTTTCGGTGACAATCCCTTGGCAGGGTATAAAACGCGAGTCAGAAGACAAAAACATTTTATTTTATTATTTTATTATTATTTTTTTTTATTTAAGCAATATTTAAAATTTCTTTCAACAAATAATACAATGTATGGATTTCTATAACTATACATAATATACCGTATACCTTCTGCTGATTTTACGACTACAGCACTGCTTACATCTCCCACCTTTGGGAGATAGAGAATAAGACCGCTTGAAGCCTCACGTTTGCGTTGCCGGACAATACCGGCCCATCTGTCTGTTGGACGAGGTGGATTCTGACTTGGCTGATAACCAGTGTGGGTTCCACAGGTGTCTCAGCACGCTGGACACTATCAGATGCGTGTGGATTCGGCGGTATCCCAAGGTGGGGTGGCTATAGTCGTATTATTGGATGGATATAGTCTACGTGTTCAATACTCTGTTCTGGGAGGCAAAAAGGGGGCACTCCTGGGCCTATCTGCAGGACAGGTAGCTGGATTCGCGATTATTGAAGCACGCGAACACCCGAAGGAGGTTTTGCCCAACCTATTATAGATAAATTGCTGGGCAGGCCGTACGCTAGACTCACCTATCGAGCGACACAGGTGTTCACTGAACATGATTACCTCTGTGAGTACCTGTGTCTCATCGGAAAAGAAGCGACGGCGCAGTGTCACCACTGCGGGGAAGAAAAGGACACTTCCTAGCACACGCTGGTGAAACGTCTAGCCTGAGTGGTGGCGAAAAGAGCGTTCAGGCGAGTTGTATGCTGGAGGGAGATAAGAGTTCGTGGACGAATTGGTATATGGCTAACCTGGGAGACACTGGGATAAAAGTATAGTCGATGGAAGAAATATAACGAGGTCGTAAAATCGGTCAGGCGTCAAAGTTTACGCGTTCGAGCATATCAAGAAGCGAATGGACAGAAACCTGAGAATATAAGGACTCGAAACCTCAATCAGGATCGCATGACGCATGCCTAAGCTTTGATTCAATCTGTTGCGAAAATCAGGAAAATTCGCTCCTTTAAGCGACTATAATTTAAAATACTTTTTAAACTGCGACAGTTGCCGGTGGTAGTTTCGCTGATTCCTGGCAGTGCGAGCGAAATAGTTTTGCATTGTCGTTGTCTAACCTACACACACACATTCGTCCACAAAACCAGCCGAATGTTTTGGTTTAGGTGTCGATGACTGCAGATATCTATCTCACACTGATTACCTGTGATGACGTCACCAGGGCATCAACCTCGCCAGGTGATCGACCGCGGAAAATCAATTCAGTATCGACGAAATTTTTAAATTCCTCCGTTCGAGAATTTTCGGTGACAATCCCTTGGCAGGGTATAAAACGCGAGTCAGAAGACACTTCGCGGTCTTCTGCCTTTTGTCTTCTATGCGATTCTGAGGTACAAAACGTATCCAAGTATCTTCACCAGCGAGCTTCGCTGTAATTTCTTTCGCGCGTTAATATTGCCGTGATCGCCAACTTTTCTTTGCATTTCTATTGTTCTTGTGTATCATTGTATTTTCGTGTATTCTTCAATGTAATTGTTTCCTTACACGTCTAATTGATTCCGGTCTATTTCACACTGTAAGTATTACAAAACACAATCCTAATCGAAAAACGAAAAATTCCACTTTCGATCCTGTGTGTTACTGCGTCAAAGGGTCTGCGGCTACTTCATGCTTTAATTTACGACCTATCTGTATTTCTTGCACCCTTTTTCGACTTATACATATATTACTTGCAGCGTTGAATTCTTTTTACAATGTAAACGAATACTAAACCTGCTTCTGTTTATAAGTTGTGCAATTTCACTGTTGACTTTCCTTCTTTATATATCACTTCCCTATTATTGTCCGGCAAAGCAAACTTGAGGCTTCTGACATCATCGTCTGACCAAAGAAACGGAAAATATCCTCGCTACTCTTCGGTCTTACACTGTCGTCGCTTGAGAGGAAGTTGCGGTGCTGCCAGGCTTTCCTTGATCCATCTGAAAAAAGTTGCTAAAGAAGGAAAAAGCGTGGAGTCAGCGATCGCTCCTCCCTCCGGCAGACACATGACGACTCTTAGAAGTAATGTTTGAAAGATTCATAGCGGAAAATGCATCTATCTCCTATCCACCGTCACCGGTCAGCGCTATTAACCCTTTGACTGCTAATGACTTATACATATATAGGCTCTCTTATATTCATCGGTACACACCTATTCCCTGATTTACACGAAAGATCGGTTCCTCAGAATACTGTGTAAAACGAAATCATGGCTTTTTGGTATGGGAACCGTGTAAATTGAAATAAAAAGGAACAAAATGCGCATAATTGAGTCAGTTATTCAATTAAATTCATATATTTCAACGTAAAATAAAAATAAAATACAAATGAAAAAGAAAAAATATCAGCCAGAGTCAGGGTTTAGTGTCGAGCGAGCGATCGATGATAATAGCCGGTCGCCAATGAAAGATCCACGTCGGCAGCAAACTTTGTTATAATACAATATGAATGCTTTTTGTGTACAAAAGAAAGGGGAATACCCATTTTTAGGTTTAATATCAGTGTTAACAAACGAACGGTACTAAAAAATGTCTGTATAAATATGTGCGCAGCATAAATTTTCGTTTTTAGCAGTTTATATTTTTGAAAACCGTGTAAAAAAAAGTACCCTGTAAATCGGGAAATAGGCGTATATATACGACCAATAAAATTTGTTTACTACAATACATTTGCTGTTTTACTAAACTGGTGTAACGGTAGGCTTCTTGTTATATGACGCATAGTAACCGTATCCAAATGAACTTCGACGACAATTTCGTTATTGTGTGCTTACAATGTATTTTTTAGCGAGTCCCAGTGACATACATGCAAATATAGCGCCGCATAATCTGATGATTCTGAGCTAGAGCATGCCGCAATCAAAGAGTTAAACGCGCGTCTCTATTTATTGCATATTTTTTACCAGTTATTATCAGTTTTGACGGACAAACGTTGCATAGTAGCGTATCAAAATGTGATTAATTTTGGCTTTCGGGTGTAAGCCGTGTTCTTATAAAAAATTATACCGACGTTTCGTAAGCATTGCAGCTCACTTCATTAAGATGCGTGAAACACACTGACAATGGAGTGCGTTTAAAGGAGGCGTATTATTTATACAAAAGTTCATGTTCCGTTTTATTGCTCACCAATCAAGTAGATGTTTTTAATTGGCCAGCTGAACAATTAAAAGGGGCACGTACTCCCTTTACGTAGGGTTGCCATCCGTCCGGGTTTCCCCGGATTTGTCCTAGTTTTTAAGGCGTCCGTGGACTTCCGGGGAACTTTTCTGTAGTGACCCGGGTTTTCCGATGCTCGCTCGCTGTCCAAACTAGGAGTGATTTTCAAGTGTTGCGTTCGCATCAGACACATCAGAAGCAGTCTAAATGCAAACGCAGGAAAGGAAAAAAGAATAGAAGTGTCCGGGTTTCAAGCAGAAAAGTCCGGGGTTTTAATGCTCTGCATTCTAGATTAGTGACTTTATAAATGGCAACCCTACCTTTACGCATCAACCGTGGTACGGAGGCCACCAAATTTTTCTATGCTGTTCCGCCCGGTAGAAGATGGTTAGGGTCGCAATATCAGTCGCGGGAGATTCCTGGAAGTGTTTCCAAGAGTTCCCAGGGCTTCCTCTGCGCGCCTAACGAGGGCCACCCTTGGGGTTTTATTGGGTAGAAATCCCACTCTAACTTCCCGCCAAAGGAAAGCAGAGTATCTTTTAGATCTCCCACATGTAAAAAAAAAAGGGTATGTCTATTGTAATGATTGTTACTGTGAATAAATATGTTAGCTTTTGGCGGAGTTGTGACTATTTAAATTTAGATGACTAAATTGGACAAAACTTTTCCACCGACCTCATAGAAGCATAATCTAAATCACTATCACGTAAACTGTCTTTATCCAAAACAGGAAAAACTGCGCTTTGGATGCGGTTGTGGAAGAAATGAAATTGGACTCACTTGTTGATTATTTTGGATCTTTGCGGCGGATCTTGCGGTTTTTGTAGAAATCACGGTATCCTGCCAAATCCGTATATAAAGCTAGTTAGTTGCAGCTGCCAATCAAACGGTATTAATCGTTCCGATCTTAACACTTTTTTCATTTTACATTTCACTGTAGAGTGTAATTGAAGTTTGAGTATCGTATTTCTTATAACGTCTGTAGTATAACAAGTTCAAAGAAAACATTTCTCGGCGTGAATTTGCATCACGTAAATTTTCTATTCATTTCACTTGCTACTCCTTTTTCTCATTTTCAATTAAAAAATTATCCATAAAAATGGCGGAGGATAAGTCCGGTATTTTGTATCTCTTTGATCGACCTGCTGAGCCGGTTTACGTCCCCAAAGGAGAGAAGAAAGTCGCTTTTGATATTCCATCTGACTATTTGGTAAGTGTTATTCCTCGTTTTTTGAACTAACATTTAAATGAAATATGCAAATACTTTCTTCACGTACATAACACAGATATTTATATCCTCTTGTACTCGAGTTAAAGTTTATTTTGATATGTTTCACTTATTACGATATCCAGTGATTTTTTTATGATAATTTTTGCTAAATAATACCGTAGGGGAAGTTAAATAGAGGCGCAGTGAAGCGTGCCTGTTGCCGATTGTTGATAATCGGCTTTTAAGGATGGAGAATTATTTTACGATAAAAATTAAAATTAATGTATTTGCTGTTATTACACTCCGGATTACACTAGTCTTGTAGCGTAAAAGATTAATATTTTAAAATATTAAAACAAGATAAATACTTCCTCCATGAAGTATTTAATATGAAAATAATGTATTAAACTAATATTTCGTATCTATTGAAAAAAAAGCTAGTAAGCAGTATAAATATTTCTTTTTAATTCAACATTATTTACGAGCATTGCCATGGTAATATAATAATTAAAGAGTGTATGCTCAAAATAGTTAAGTACTATATCTTCTACATATGATGCAATTATATAATAAAGTATTAAGCAATTTTATTATACAATAAAATTAGGCATTCATATTATTTTTGTTGTGAAAAAATTTTTGCTAGATTTTTAACGAAATTTCAATTACTCAGTATTAATCACTACATTCAGATCGAATTTTTTGATACTCAACGTTTTCAATAATTTGTTCAGCCTGACAGATATCGTCCTGTGGCTACTCAAGTGTTCAATCGTTTCGGTGACGATGCAGACACAAAACTTCAAGTGAAGCAGATTACACTTCCAGATCTTAGCGTTCCGATGCAACTTGGACGTCATCAAGCATTTTCCCTGTTTATTCCATCGCATCGTAAATTAGCTGCACGACTAATTGACATTTTTTTGGGTAAACAGATCTCTTTTCACTTTTATATGTATTTGTTAAGGCGTAACCTGTAGCCGGATTTATGGCAGCGAGTCAAGTGGTCGCCGTCGCAGGCAAATATCGCTTTTTCAAAACACCACAAGTGTTTATTGCGTTGCCTGCGACACTTAGTCCCTAGGACCAGACCCTGCCATAGATCCTGGAATCTCCGAACGGAAAATAGACTTTAACAAAGCCTAGAAAAGCGGAGATTCCACAGGATTCCCACGCATCTGTCCACCGAACACGTTCTTCGGTCGTCGTTCACCCCACCCTAAGATAACCCGCTAAGGGTGAAATGGAGGGAGGTTGCGATGTAAACTGATTGGTGATCTAGAAGAGGAAAAATCACCAATCAGGGTGTTTTTAGGAAAATAGGAGTCTTCTTCGAGGGAAACCGCAGAGACTCCGGCAGAAACATTTAGCAACTCGTGGGAGAAACACTTGGCCAATCGCAAGTGAAACACCTCTCACTTCGCAATAGAATTTATATCTTGAATTAGTTGCAGAAAATAGAACATAAAATAAAAACTTAGTGTTTCAATCAAGAAACTGGTCCTTCGAAGCCTTAGAACATTAGTCGGCATACACGTGCAAAAACCGGCAAAGCTTGAACAATCGAAAGATCAACCGCAAGCTCCTAACATATTTCTGTCTAGTTCTTTCATTTTTTCTTTTTAATTGATTAATATGTCATAATTTCATTGGAAGCCAATGTAATTTCAATGAAATTAATAATTTATAGTATAGGTATATTATAGGTATATACAATTAATGATAAATTCACAACAACCGTGAATTCTTAACATTTCGATCATTCGTTATACGTTCTTTTTCTCATTTTCAATCCCAATTATTAGATATTTCTCAAATTTGGTTACTAGCTACTTCGTAAAAAACTGTTAAAGTACTATTTTGCGGATACTTATTAATTATTACAATAATTATTCAGAAAATGGTATACAATGAAAAGTGAGCAATTTCAAGGATTTATTTACATCTTTGCTTAAGATGAATATAAACCAACAGTTTATTTTGTTTGGTTTATGTTTATTTAAAGAAGCATCCCGACTAGTACAGTAGTAATGGGAACACTAAAATGTTTTAGCTATAGATGACAAAAATTTGTTATCAAATCTTTTTAGTCTCAGCCTCTAGAATAATTCCAACTTAGAAATGATAAATGTAAAAGATGGACTCGATCGGATAACAGGAAAATATGCCTCGAGTGTAAAATCTCATAAGAGTAGCTTAGCTGCGCCACTACTCCGATTCATTTAACAAAGTTGTTCAACTGCTTTTTTCTCATTATTACATGTACTTTGACGCCTGACTGATTTTACGACCCCACTATATCGTGTCCACCGACTATACTTAGAAATTCATACTTTTACAACGCTGCCGTCATTTTGTGAAAGTTAACAAATCATTTTGCACAAATTTCGGAGGTCGAAATATAAGGGTCATCTCAGGGAACACGTTGCATACATATGTAAAAGTTATTCATCGTATACTATTTTTTATATTTTCGCCTATAGGTATGAGGACATACGACGACTTCTTATCTATCGCGGTATACTGCCGTGATCGTTTGAACCCGAACATGTTTATTTATGCCTTGTCGGTGGCGATACTTCATCGTCCTGATACAAGGGACCTACCAGTACCACCATTGACCGAAGTATTTCCGGATAAATACATGGATAGTGGAATATTTGCTAGGGCCAGGGAGGAAGCTAACGTCGTTCCTGCAGGTGCAAGGGTATGTAGAGACATTCGTAATTTATAGATCTATCAAATGTAATTATGAGTCATTATTTTGAGAGATAAGTAAAATCATGAACATTTTTCATTGACTGTGTACATGGAAAATTTTACGTGCAATATTAAGATTCGAGCCGTTTCATGGTACAGAAATGATTGCAACGAAGATTATTAGCAAAATATGTATTTAACGAGGTTATTAAAAGAACGTAAATAGAGAAAACTTTTGGATCGGCTAAATATATTTCTTGGACACAGGTACCAATTGAAATTCCACGAGATTACACTGCATCAGATCTTGATGAGGAGCATCGCGTCGCTTATTGGAGAGAAGATGTTGGAATCAATCTTCATCATTGGCATTGGCATTTGGTCTATCCGGCTGATGCGAACATTAATATTGTTAACAAGGATCGACGTGGAGAACTCTTTTACTATATGCATCAACAGATCGTGGCTAGGTTAGTGCTGAAAACACTAAAATTATACGAAACCTTTTATTTTTATTCTATTCACATTAAGATTATGTAATACAGTACCTATTTGTAGAAATCAAGGTTATCAGATATTTGTATATCAAAAAGAAACAGTTGCGATTTAAATACAACATTTGCAGGTACAATTGCGAACGTCTCTGTAACCGACTTAGTCGAGTGAAGCGATTCCTCAATTGGCGTGAACCGATTCCAGAGGCTTACTTCCCAAAGCTAGATTCCCTGGTCGCCAGTCGAACATGGCCATCCCGAACGGGCGGCGCAATCCTGAAAGACATCAACCGACAAGTGGACGAATTGAACTTCGACATCCAGGATTTAGAAAGGTGGCGCGATCGTATCTATGAAGCGATCCACACGGGATCTGTGATTAATGCAAGAGGCGAAAGGATTCCCTTGACCGAAAAAGGTGGCATCGACGTCCTTGGAAATATGCTGGAAGCTAGCATTTTGTCTCCTAATATGAATGTCTACGGTGATCTTCATAATTTTGGTCACGTCGCCATTTCTTATGTCCACGATCCCGATCATCGTTATTTGGTAAGCGTGCACGAGACAATAACAGGATGAGATTGTGTGACAGGAGATTCTGACGAGACAATGCATTGTTTTCTTGAAAATTGTTAGGTGCTCATGGGAAAATTTTAATCATTCTGAAGGAAGTTGTGCGTTATTGTTATATTGTAGTTATGCAACTTTTTAACTGTTAGGCTAATAGTTTATTGCATAACCGGATTAACTGTTGCTGCTGCTTAACATTTATTTTTTCTTGAAAATGTTTATATTGAAATAATTTAGGAAACAACGAATATATTTTTTCACAATAGCCCACAGAATATTTACAATTCACAAATCTTAGATTAAGTAACTAAATAATCAATATATATATATTTTTTTAGGAGAGTTTTAGTATTATGGGTGATTCGGCAACTGCCATGAGAGATCCTATATTCTATAGATGGCATGCATTTATTGACGATGTCTTCCAGGAACATAAAAACACGTTACCTCAGTACACCGTACAGCAGGTTTGATACTTTTTCATAATTTTCAGTATTGTAGTTTAAATATTTTAGTGAAATGTAAAATATAAATATCATAGCTAAAAGGAATGAATTACAGTAAGGACGGCAGGTAGAAAATTTAAAATAAAATTGAATCTTTAAAATAATAAATAAATATTCAAAGATTAGGCATGCGTATAATAAAACTCTAACAATACATGCTGTAGTATAATTTATTTTAACATCGATAATAACAGGTAGTAATAAATTTGTACAATTACACTGTAGTTTGAAATTTTATCACATAAATATTATACACTGCTACGCATCTTTATACACTTCAACTTATGTATTATATATATTCATAGAAATTACACAGATCGGTGTCTTGTATTAATAACAGTTATTTCGTGCAAAATCTGAGGTTTCAAAAATCATGCTCCTGACTAAGGTTTCGAGTCCTTATATTCTCAGGTTTCTGTCCATTCGCTTGTTGATATGTTCGAACGTATAAACTTGGACACCTAACCGATTTGACGACCTCCCTATGTTTCTTCCATCGACTATACTTTTATCTCAGTGGCTCCCGGCATTAGCCATACGTCGATTCGTCCGCGTAAACTATCCCAGAGATTCCCGGCATTAATCATACACCTCTTTGGCTCCTGGTGTTAGCTATACACCGGTTCGTCCTACTTTCCTAGCCATAGACCCGTTTTAACCATAAAGCCCAGGCTACACTCGCCGTGCCCCGCATACCGGTACTCGCAACGCGTGACAAGACTATAAAATTCAACTTGGTACAATTATTTTGATTAAATAATTTAGATATATTTGGTGAATTAATAAGACATAGGAGTGAACTGTAACTGTTTCTTGTATAGGACTGATAACATTAACTTTATGTTTTATTGTTCACAGTTGGATTTCTCAGGTGTTGAAATAACGGACATTAGACTAACAACCAATCAGCAACGAAATGAATGCGACGCGAAAAAGAGGCACCGTCCGCATCTATATAGCGCCAAAACAGGATGAACGTGGACTACCATTTACATTCAGATCTCAAAAGAATTTAATGATTGAAATGGACAAGTTTACAGTAAATCGTACGTTGCCAAATATTTATGATTCTATATTATACATTTGAATAACAGTTCACATTCTGTAACATTCTTTTCATCGTGATGTCTTCCAGACTTTTCGAATACATATTAAATAATTAGATTTGCAAACGTACTGAGTCGTTTGAAAGCAGTAAACGTAGCTTATATTAACATTATATATCGCACTAACGACGAGATGTATTTTTAGTACAATTTTAAGTACAATAGTTCAATTGCTGCTGTAACATTCTTTTCATCGTGATGTCTTCCAGACTTTTCCAATACATATTAAATAATTAGATTTGCAAACGTACTGAGTCGTTTGAAAGCAGTAAACGTAGCTTATATTAACATTATATATCGCACTAACGACGAGATGTATTTTTAGTACAATAGTTCAATTGCTATGTCTATCTTATTGCAGTTCGTCCAGGTAAAAATACAATTGAACGCAAATCAACAGAGTCGGCAGTAACAATACCTTTCGAAAGAACTTTCCGCAATTTAGACGAAAATAGGCCAACAGAAGTTGGAGCGTTGGAAGCATTTAACTTCTGCGGATGCGGATGGCCACAACATATGATCACACCGAAAGGAAACAAGGAAGGCTTTCCAATGGAATTATTCGTTATGGTGTCTGATTATACTGGTGATGCTGTGAGTATTTTTCCTTGTACTTCGTATAACGTCAGTATTAAATACTTTTTGACGGTATCATTATACTATAAAATACTTATTTTCTTCTTATCTTAATAGATGGTCATACTATAAAACAATATAAAACATTCTTTTTACAATTTAATTAGATTTGTAAGCAACTTTTAACTTGACAAATAAGGTTTCGCTAATTTTATTTATTTGTTGGTTTCTCAAAATCAAACTTATGTGTCTCGATAATATAGCTCTTTAAATAGGAAAATAAGTATTTCAATAACAAGAAAATGGGATAAAGTAGCCATTTGGATATGAATCAGGCAACTATTGTACAGCATTTTGTACTTAGAATTGTTTGCAGAATCTGTTAACGCAGCATCGATATTTTCTTGTTACATTCGTGAATTCTCCTAAAATTCTAATGTAAATACAATAAGATTTAATGTAAATACAATCATCGATTTTTCAATATTGACATTTAGGTGGAACAAGAAGACGCGACTGGTTGCAATGATGCTGCAAGTTTCTGCGGTTTGAGAGATAGAAAATATCCTGATGCACGTTCCATGGGATATCCGTTCGATCGTCAGCCTCGTGCTGGTGTTGAAAATTTGGCTCAATTCCTTACTGGAAATATGGCGGTAACTGAAATAACTGTTCGCTTTTCGGATAAAGTTGTACCCAGATCAAGAACCGGAAGCATGGGAAACACGTTAAACTTTAATTAATGATTTACGGACATGAGTTGAACTACTGAACTATATGAGGCATTTAATGGCGTTTGTTTAAAAGGAGAATCTGCATATCATGGTTGTATCTACTTACTTGTAACTTAAAAACTACTTTAAAATATAAAATAAAGCAATAAAGACTATAAATAAAGTAAATTGTGTTTGCAATGTACCATCCGATAGTTTGCCGAAAGAAAACATTTGACACCAAATTTCAACCCTCTATCTCGACCAGGGGGGACTTACATGGAAAATTCGGATTATCAGTTTTTGCACTATTCTCCCTATTTTGTGGTGTGCAAAAATTCCCTTGTTAGAAAACTCGATACATGTTTACTTTGACTTCTAACCGATTTTACGAGCCCGCTGTAATTCTTTCACCAACCCTACAGATAGTTCACATAGTGAAACGGTCACATTGAATTCTTTAAATGGAACCATGCAATTTATTTATTACAATATTGCAGGGGACATCAAAATAAATTTAATCAGCACAGAATATAACATTTTTATTTATATAATATCAAATTTACAGCAGTGAAAATAGCAGTATGTATATTAATTTCTGTTAGATACGATCTTATAAACTCTGATTATGAATGTAAATAGAAAAATATCTGAGGTTTTCAAAATAATATTTCTTTGAAAATTATGAGTTATTATTATGTTTCTCTATAGTTTAAAATTTAGAATTCTTATTGCGAAAGAAGAGCAACCATAGATATTCAAAACAATATTACAGGAAAATATAAATCATTGGGGTAACACTTCTTTAATGATCTTTTACATAAATAAATATGAATACAAGAATATGGCTAAGATGAGAAATATAATGTACATGATAATGTTTTTTATATTTCGCATGTAATAATATTAAATAAATTTATAACTCTTTTATATAATAAAACTGTCTTAAAACGAATTACTCACTATTACTTGTAGTTGAAGTAAAGTATAAGTAAACGTTATAAAACCATAAAAACGTTCATGCGTCAAGTTTTATTTGTGACAAATGGACTATCTTTTCTTCTTCCCTTTGAACGAGATATCCAAAGCAAATTATCTTGCTGCAACGAAACATAAATATAAATATTTAACGAGAAAATCAGTTGTTTCTTAATGAAGTTACGATTACCTAAAAAGAAAATATAATATGAATAATTGCATTCATTTATAAATAATAAAAAATATTTCTAAAATGATTGTTTTTGCAATGGAGAAAGTATTTTCTAAATATTTACAAGTTGAGAAGCTATCAAGTAAAATTAGTAATTGTTAGCATAATGATCGATGTGTAGTATAGTCGATGGAAGAAATACGGCATTTTACGTTTTTCGATTGGGTTTGAATTCTCAGGTTTCTGTCGATTCGCTTCTCGATATGCTCGAATATGTGAATTTTGATGCCTGAGCGAAATTACGACTTGGCTATATTTCTCCCATCGACCATAACTATAGAAATAAGTGATATGGTTTTGTGATCTACACAATTTTTTCTTACATGCAACGCAATATTGCCTTATTAGTATTATTATTTTATTTGACACACACTGTATAGAACAAATACCTGAAAGTAATCTTCAATTTCTTGAAGTGTACGATTCCTTGTTTCTGGTAAAGCAACGTAAATAAATACTGCTTCTAGAAAAGCAGAAGTTCCGAAAATTGTAAAAATTCCAGCAACTCCCACTTTTTCACTTACCTGGGAACAATCAGAAATCAAAAATTTGTAAAATATTATGTAACACGTTGTTATACAAAATTTTGATATATTTAAGAAAGTTAATTTTTAATTGTATTTAATTCAATTAAATTCATTCTTAAATGTATTCAAGTTAAGAAGGAGAAACTCCGCCTCCGTGGGCGTATACGTTAACGCCCGCAGTACCAGTGTCGCAGACGTACTGGTCGTACTGTTCGCGAGGCGTGTTCGCTACCCATTGAGGTGCTTGCACACTCGGCCAACTGGGATGCATGGGGGCGTCACTCCCCAAAAGTCACGTGGTCAGACTTTCCTGCGCTGTTCAATTGCGAAATATCGTATAATAGAAAAAAAAACGTACCATAGGAAAAACCTTGGTAACAATGAAGAGGAGTAAATTGAAAAGGAAAAAGTTGCAACCGCCCCCAATTCCACGTGCCCTTTGCGGAAGTAATTCGGCAACCATTAATCCTGGAAGTGTCATTAGTCCCACGGTATTGGCTGCCACGTACAGCAGTAATAAAATACCAACAACGTATATCTACAACACATAAATGAAATGCAAGAGGTTTAGGTGCACTTATAAAATATAAAAAAGATTTTTTTTTTAAATAAATTTTGTACATATAAAATTATCACGTTTTTAATATATACTATAATTCAATAGGTGACATAATAATTAAATACTATGCTATTGATTTTTTAACAATTAATTAGTGTTTGTGTAATGTCTTATGTTAATATGTAATATTTTTTTTAGAATAATATAACTTACATCTACAGAAGACCCCTTTTTGAGTAACATATATCCTGCAAGAATTAACGAAGAGGAAGCTGTTCCAAGAGCCGAAAAAATTCCCAGATTTCTTCTACCCATTTTTAACAATAAAACGCTCGCCACTGAGCTAAACAAAAATCTAATAATTGCTGTAATTACTGCCGCTAAATAGCTGTTCATACTATCACCACCTGCATATGACAAAAAATAACAGAATTATATAATTAATATAATCGCTACATAAAAAACTATTTATCCCATTTTTATAGAATTTATGTAGGAACCGACGACGGAAAAATATTGAGGGACCCCAACACGGGAATCGAACCCGGGACACCTTCGGCTTAGCAGCCGAGGCTTTGCGCGCTACGCCAGCCACTCCCTCTCTATTCTCCCTTCGAGGTTTCCTATTTGGGTATGGAGGCCCCGATACTACACTCGGCCATCCTGTTCTGACATTCGCCCTCGAATGTCCTCAGTGCAACACAACTCAACACTTTCGGGTACACTTCCCCACACAGTGGCACACAGCCGAAACAACGCATTTCTGGGAGACGTGCAACCCTCGAGATGTTTTCATCGCACATTTCCTGGCTTCGTGTAGCCGTAGATGCCTCCATCCCAGATGAGTCCCCATTTGTAGGAACCGACGGAAAAATATTGAGGGACCCAACGGGAATCGAACCCGGGGCACCTTCGGCTTAGCAGCCGAGGCTTTGCGCGCTACGCCAACCACTCCCTCTCTATTCTCCCTCGTCGATTTCCTATTTGGGTATGGAGGCCCCGATACTACACTCGGCCATCCTGAACTGACATTCGCCCTCGAATGTCCTCAAGTGCAACACAACTCAACTCAAAACACTTTCTGGTACACTCCCCCACACAGTGGCCACAATCCAGCCGAATCTCTGTTTCTCAACTCTTTTTGAGAGACGTGCACAAACCCTCTCATCACATGTTTTCATCTCACAGCGCCTGGCTTCGTGTAGCCGTAGATGCCTCCATCCCAGACGAGCCCCCGTATGTAGGAACCGACGGAAAAATATTGAAGGGGGACCCAAACGGGAAATTGAACTCGGGACCTTCGGCTTAGCAAGTCGAGGCTTTGCGCGCTACGTCAACCACTCCCTCTATATTCTCCCGTCCCGGTTTCCTATTTTTTGGGTACAGAGGCCCCGATACTACATTTATAACTTTGATTACGATAAAGATTGTAATAAATTTGTAATTGAACGCAATATTGATAATAGAAATAACGTGTGAAAACACCAGAGTATCTTATGAAAAATTTACCCATGAACAATTTATATAAAGCATCGTAAAATGCTGTAAATTTTGAAAAAAAAAAGTTTTCCGAAATTTCTTTATCACCACAGTGTAGGAAATACACAACATTGAATTTAACTTCTTTTCCACATCTTGTACAGTTTCATAAATATTCACGATAATATGAAAACTCACAACTGTTTTGAGAGGGCGGTTTTTACACCTAAAACCGTTCTATTACCGAAATAAAAAATGATTTCGTTATTAGCGCGAGCTACATTGCCTTATGCAATAAATATTTAGTAAATATTTATACATTAAATTTAAAGATTCTTCTTACCAATGTCTTCCACGAGATTCACTCCATAGAAAACGATAACATATGTTCCACTTATTAATTGAAGGGTATTAAATATGTTAATGATTGTCAATGGTTTGAAAACACTTGGATCGAAGATCGTGGAAATTGCCGAAGAAATTTGCTCGGTCCATGACATGTTTGTAGCCGTACGTGCTAAATCTGCTTTCACTCGTGCTTCCAAGATTGCCATTTCGGCATTAACCTGTTTTTAACAAATTATTAATTTTCAGACTGAATTAAAAATATAAAATATCACTTGTTAAAATGAAATACTTCCTTCCCGTTTCCGTTTATCAAATATTTCCACGATTATTTTGAAATATTACTAAAAAATTTACAATCATCTAAATATTTGACTACATCTCGGATAAAGCTTGAAAAATTGTTGAAATGCAAATAGCATGGGAATTTTACATACTTAATAAAAACTATTTACTGTATTATAGCGACCAGCTACAGCGAAGAACATTTGGCGAGCAGACTACCAGCACGGTTTATGACGTGCGCGCTTGAAAAGCTATTTTTGAGGAAACCGTTTTTAGCTTATTTAATTTCTAGAAATTCGACAATGCATGTCCGCGTAGAAACTTTCTCCGACGGCCTCAATAGCAAATTGCCGCATCATAAACCAAGGGTTTCCGAAAGGTCCGCCGTACGAGGCCCGGACCGGCAGGTCACGAGTACTTGACCTGGAGGAAACTCAGCTGTGTCGCCAAATGACGTCACGGGAAAAACCTCCCCCTCCAAGTCGCACTGCGGTCCCCGAAAAAGTGCCCCAAGGGCGCAAGGGACACGCAGCGACTCGGAAAGAAATTACCTGATTGGTTAACACCGATGCGACGGGTTAACCAATCAGGGATGATTAACACATAGCCGAAAGGCAGTAAGAAAAAAGCGAGGCGACAGGAGGGCAGTCTTGCACGGACCTCCAGAGCCGTAAGTCAACAACTAATAAAGATCTCACTACTACCGTGTAGGTACATAGCGTAACCCTAGTCACGCCTTGTTATTTATTCGTAACCACATTCCTTCAGTATTATCAGTTACTATTTAGTTTAATAACAAAAAGTATTTCAATTCGTTTATTACTTATAAATATCTCAAGTTAATTAAATTCGAATAGAAAAGAAGGAAGCAAACGAAAATTTAATTAACGATACTCTGTTTAAATTTCACACGAAACAGATGCTGTAATTATTAGAACTACATACTCTACCTGTTCTATGTTACCTCCTCTCAACCACAACAAAGCTTTTTTCGCTTTATCAGGTTTCTTCTGTTTCACGAGCCAAGCAGGACTTTCTGGTATTAGAATCAATGCAATCAATGCTGCTACGGGAAGTATAGTCCCACAGAAAGCCACAGTGTTCCAAGTGAAAGAAGCTCCCAAGGCGTACACTATGACAATACCGAGACAATAGAAAGCGAGCTTGTTTCCTGTTAGAAATCCGCGGAGCCCTGGATCAGCCATTTCACCCAGTAAGACCTATTCGAGAAAATTCCAAAACTAACGTGTTAAGTTTCAAGAAAAATTATTAATTCGAAAATTTTTCAAGTTTCAAGAAGAACTACATGTAACCATTAAGTCATTTTAGTTTCAAAGTTCAAAGCTAATGGAGTATAGAGTATTAGAGTTTTGTGAGATAGAATTAGAGTATAAAGGAATATTCCAATATTCCTATTGTTTGTGAGTAAAATCTCTCAGCAACCTAACGTTCCTACAATAAGTAGGAGTTGAAATAAGTCTAGTTGAAAAATCGAAGTATCATAAGGTGTAAGTTTACATGACACAAAACGAAAGTATAATATGTTGTAAAATAAAAACCAGCGGATTAATTGGAAATACTGAAGAATAATGATTTGTATAATTTGCTGAGATGACCAAGAACATAATAATTGTACGTTCAAAGAAATAATTTGAAGACTGAAATAGAACTGATTAGATACTTTTTATGTCAGATTAATTTAAGTTAAAAGGTATACTGAAAATAGAAATAGAAAAAATGCTTTACTGTACATAGATTATTGTTAAATTTAATTATTAGAAGCAGTAATATATTATTATTTTATACCTGAGCTGGCACTGCCATAAGCCCAACTGCGAAACCCGATATGGCTCTTCCTATTAAGAGACAAGGAATGTTTTGAGAAAAACCTATAATGACCCAGCCAACAGAAAGTGGTATTGCTGAAAATCGCAAAGAACCACGTCTGCCGATTCCATCTAACAACGGACCTGACATCAGAGATCCTATAGGTGTTGCTAAACTGTGAACTGAAGCTGAAATATAAAGTATTAAAATCTGTTTAGAATTTTTAAATACACATTTTTGTAATCAATATCAATTGAGTAGTTCACAATTATAGTGGTATAAAAAGTCCATATAGTATTTTCAAATTTTTAATGAAAATAAGAATTAAAAAATAATATCTTAAAAAATTACAACATTATTCATTACAACTTTATGTTTCTCTACTATTATAAATAATTGAATGCTATTATACGCTTTTATGGAGTTTAAATAAACAGCATAATACAGTAATGTTTCAGTAACTTCTCGCAAAAACGTTTCAATAAATGTATACTGTTACCCCCATCACTTCTTGAAACTACCTCCAACAACTGAAAGTAGAGTTAATTTAGATTAGGTGGCCCACTAGTAACTAGATCTGCCGCCCCTTGCGATATAGAAGGCGTGGCGACAGAGCAAGTGGGTGGAACCGTTTCCGCTTCATCCACGTCGCTGCCGCTGGACCAGGAGGGGTGGGGGTGAAGTCTCCTCCCTTGCACCTCTGTGCCTACGACTCCACTGCGGAAGGGTGTCTTACAGCTTCTCCCCCGCAGAAGGGCCGCCCAAACCATTACTAAACCATAACTTTTTACATACTGACAATGAATTTAAATCTACACACACGCGCGCGAGGAGGTGGAGCGAATGGAGAGAAAAATAGCTAATACTGTCAAATAGCGTAGTACGATCTCAACGATCAAAATTTGTGTATTGCAGAATAAAAGATTCCGTTATGCTATGTGGGCGCTCAGAATTAAACATGGAGGGTTAAGGGTTCTATAATAACATTGCTTATAAAATATATATATTACAAATATTGTCTACGAAAACATACTTTTACCTTATTATAATTTATCAAACCTATGAAATTAATGTTTCAAATTCTCTGGAGCATAAGTAGAATTTTTTTTAACATGAAGAGTAAAGTTTAATTTTGAAATGTCTACGTACCTATCCAGGATCCAAGTTCACGATCGGCATGCATCGTGCCATTTTCTTCAGCTAGTTGGGGTAATAAAACAGCACTGTAACCAATAGGCATTCCTCCACCGGCTGCAAGCAATAAGACCGCACCAGTAACTAGACACTAGAACACATTAGCGTAGTGATGTAAATTTATGAATTTCTAGGACTTTGAAGAGCGAATATCATTTGCAAAGTAATAAAAACGTATATGTAATTGTAAAACCAATTTTCAATTATTGTACCTTTAAAAAATTTATCTTGTATGTTTCAATTTTAGTTAGTATACATATAATAGGTACATACAACTTTTTGCTACTGGATAAGTATAGTTTGTTGACGTTAATATTTTAAAGGATTTTCTATAAACTTAAAGATGCAACTTAAAAATACACATATCATTTCCAGATTAATTGAAGCAGATGCTGCAATGATTCATTGTTTCATATATTGTGACATTGTTACTTTTTCCAGATGCGCAATATTTTTTAATGTTCCCCAAAGAAAGAAATCAAGTGGCGTATCTATGCTGTAACATACCCGAAGGATTATTCCAGTTGGATGTCTTAGGAACGTGTTTCGATTACTCTAAGATACGATTACAGTGTGTACTGTACTTGTATACTGTTACTATTGTTTCTTGAAAATCTATGCGTCTAGATTTATGCGAATTCTATGGGAGTAAATTAGCCTACTTGTCACCCTTGGACAGCCCTTTCTAGTCTCCGAGTATGGCACCTACCTGGGGAGTTAGGCTCTAGGGCAGCGCCGTTCAGTCATTGCCCGCACGGGCAGCGTACTAGACTTCCCCGGGCATAAAAAAATCGGCGGGCAACAAGCCACGCCTTCTCGGGCAATGGTACGTGTATAGTCCTATGCTGAGAAGATGACAAGCGGAAGGAATGCGGGTCTCATTGGTTGTAGCGGACAGTCCCATAAAGTCAGATCACACGCATTTTTACTATGGGCCGAAATGGTCACATCTACTAATCCATCGCGTGACGGTGAGTGTCAAAGGTGGAGAGAGCAGTTTATTTCCCTTGCCTCTATGCCGTCTCATCGCCCATTTTAAGAAGGAGAATTATGTTTCGAAGATATGTAACACAAGTGTTTTTCCCCCATTCCGCTTTAATGTATGTGACATCACTAGTTCGTGATTTTGCCCTCAGCTCAGCCTGCGGGCATCGGCGGGCGCCCTTGCCCGCTTGAAGCTCTACTGAACGATACTGCCCTAGGGTGAGTGATGGTTTTAACTAGACTAATTCCCCTGTATCAAGTCGTGACTATAGGAAACATCAATCGCTACTGAATGTGCAACAATGCATAAAGCACGTCTTAGGCTCGGGCTTCAGAAAGTGACTTAAGAAGTATCGAATATACAAGAAATCTTTAAACAAGAGTTATTCAAAAATAGCGTAGCTAGGCGTCCGTTCCTTAAAACCCAAAGTCTTAACAGTAAATTTTCTGCAATTCTTCATATTTGAAAATTTAATCAGTGTGAATCATTACAACACAATTCATAATATAACCAATATAAAATTCAATGCGTATCTTCTATAAATCTTACTTTTAAAACGATACAAGTTTTGTATTCTTACCTGTGCAAATACACCTTTGGAGTTGGACGAATAATACGATACGTCATGTTTGTCATAAAAAGAGTTGCTTTTATTGTGATTATTATTATTATTATTTTCAATATCTTCACAAACGTTTTTCACTTGTGTCACCTTTACATAATCAACTGGATGGTATCCAAGCATTGAATGGCGTTCTTCACTGAAATGAAAGTATTTGAAAAATTATTTGCAATTATATAGAAATCTTATCGAACGCGTTATTAAGCAGTAATATAGAATGTAAGATATTTAATTGAACTAAAAGTTGTCATAACCAAAGGCTGTTAGAATTTTTAAGTGCTTTTAAAGTGACTATAGTCACAGGTAGTACCTATATAGCGAGTGCTCGTGGATGGGTGACTATAGTCAGTCATCGTTAGTAACGAAAGGGTTATATAGGTATGATATGTAGAAGTTTAACATCTAGCACCTGGTAACCCAGATAATCTGGGTTATCAATTGAGTTACGCCCAATGAAGGCGACCACCGAACTCAGCTGAGTTCAACAATTTAAATTTCCCGCTTTTTTAGAGGTGCCTTTAAAACTGATTTCTGTTAAAACTAGTCCGATTTATGTCGTGTTTGGACTCATTTTCATCGCGAGGACTTCACCAATTCATTGATACTACATTCCTAAAGATAGGATGAACATTATAGATATTGAAATTTGAAATTTTTATTCACTTTCTTTATCGGTATGTTTAAGTTTGCTGAGCTCGAGGCACTGAGTGGTGGGGGAAGAGTGGGGATAATTCAGTTCAATTTGGTCAAGTACTACTGTACGTAAAAACATGCATTCGTTACACGTTTCGAATATTTCGCATGTAGTTGACATACTTCAATTTATTATAAATGTGCAGAGTATGGTAAACATATTAATAAAATTATTCTAATAAGAAATCATTTTTGCACATATTCAATTTGTTGAATATTTAATCTTAACGTCTGTGTAAACATAGAATAGATTATGTATACACTAAATGTAACTGTGATAATGAATAGAATACAAAAAATTATAACGTCTAATGTTTGAAATGCATCTCAAAGTGTCTAATATTGCTAATTGCACATTCTAAAGGATATCCATTGAAACTGTAAGGATTTAAAATTTGAAGTACACAGCAACCTTCTGATTAACATGATTTTCAGCAAAATATTACTTAAACGACAACTTCCAATTTATAAACTCATTAGCAACTTACCTTTCCGGCGGTGCCATCTTGATTCAAGTTTGAAAAGTTCAAAATGTTAAATGCCAATCCTTATAAAAGTTTAAACAAGTCATTAACAGTTTTAACCATGTAACTTAAAAACTGTCTGTAGATTTATGCACTTTCTTCTTAGTTTCGTCAAGCTTCATTTCATTTAATCTTGCGTAAATTGCTTCTTCAATAGAGAATTCGTACCAGCCAATTCACAGTATCTCCGGCGTTATGATAATTTTTCGTGGTAGTATGCACATAATAACGCATGTTACGATGTTCACTGAACAGGGATTACACTTTTTTATATTCTTAATTTCAGAGATTTTCCAGTGCAACTTTCAAGTTCCTCCTATACTTTCGACTGTCTTTCTTTGTAGATTCAACTTTTTAAAAGGATCAACTGTCTTTATCGACATTCAGGATCAGTGCTTCTTGTTTGAATATCTAAAAAATCGTCGTGAAAGAATGGATTTCATTCGAGATACAATCAACCACAAATGATACTTCAAAATTGGAAGATTTCCCTCGATGAAAATCTCTCCCTCTATTCCACGAAAAAATAGTGTTTGTGTCTTTTTCTCTAACAGCAATTTCAACTGATTGAAGATATTCGAGAAATAATTCTTTCGTAACTAAAATTGTGCCACTTTAATGTGAAAATATTCCTTTTAGAAATTGTCAACTGAAATAAGTGCAAATCACGTTGTCCTGTAACTTATATCTTAGAATTCACTTCGACTCTCGTTCAATGTTCGCCGAAAAGTTCTTCATTGATGTTTTTCTTGCACGAAATACTGTTCCTTAGATATTCCTTTTCAACAGATATTAAACTGCTCTCTCTTTTTTCAACTTTCACAATTCGAAGTTAACATTTCTTTTCGTATTTTTCCTTATTGTAACGAGTGTCATAAGTTAATTGATCTTTTTGAATAAATACGAATGGTATGTTAAATTTTAATACTTTCATAATCTTATCGATTCCTCTTTACTTTTGATCGAAAAGGTTGCTTAACTGTTCCAAAAAGAATTTGTGATCTCGCATTCTCTCACTGCAGTGATTTGTTTTGAATTTATCATACTTAAATTTGTTCGATACTCTCGAACTGGTGCACTGGAAATATAAATTCTCATTTCACTGTTCTTTTTTTCAATTAATACTTAAACGTCCAGAACGTGCTATGTAAAATTCACAAGCTTTCCTTAACTATTAAGGCAGGGGTGCCCAAAGTGCGGCCCGCGATGGCAGATCAGCCGCGATCTTGAATTTACAGAGATAATTTACATTTTTGCAAAAAAATAAATAAATTTTATCGCATAATTAAAAATTGTTCAGTTAAAGCAATACTAAATTTTATATGTAATACATCTTGTTATTATATAGATTGTATATACAGGGTGTCCCGTAAAGAGTGTAACACCCGGAAATGGGGGGTTGCTGGGGTGACTCTGAACAACTTTTTCCTTGACGAAAATGTTCTTTGAAGCTTCGTTTTTGAATTATTAACGAAAAACACTGGCCAATCAGAGCGCGCGTAGAGCCCGCGCTCAGGGACGGGCGAACAGAGATTCACCCGCGCGCTATCGTGAACAAGCGCACGCGACTTTCGCTATTTTCTACGCGATTCCGACTAATTGCAGTTTTTTCAAAAATTTGTACAAACGTCGGAATGACGACAAAAAACCATTTCTCTAAGCCTTATAAAGATAGCGGTACAAAGTCAAATTTTTTTGACAGCAATCGGTAACCGAGAAGTCACGCGTACGCGTTTGTTCACGATCGCGCGCGGATGAGAGTCAACACTCCCGTGGTGTTCAGAGTCACCCCAGCAACCCCCCATTTCCGGGTGTTACACTCTTTACGGGACACCCTGTATTTTATTGTCTTCATGGCCCGCCAAATATTTTTGAATTTACAATTTGGCCCACCTAGGCAAAACTTTGGGAACCCCTGTATTATGGGGTTCAATCTTCTTTTAGATGCGGAAAACGAGCAACGAATTCAGGAATATTTGAAACGTTTGTTGTTTGAAAGATAAAATAATGAAATTTAAAAGACTATTAACTACTGTACAACCGC